TTGCTTTCTTGTTCTTCATATTTTTGATCGCCGCCTGAAGCTCTGCTAAAGAGAACGTGCCGGTGTTGATCTTCAAGGTGCCTCCAATCATCTCGGTGTTCGTGGGCACCGCGTTGGCAAAACAGACTCGCCATTGCACCTGCTCGAAATACTCTGCAAGGGTGTCTGGTCTGGCTGCAATGTCAGAATGATTCCCATTCAAGTCTTACACTCCCACGTGCTTACGGGGCGCAGGTCTTCGTAGTAGTTGCTTGACCGCGTCCCAGCTGCCAGAAGAGGCTAAATTGTCCAACCAGGCCGCACGATCTTTCTTCCCAGCTTTCCGTATGAGTCTGTGTAGGCGGAGCTCGTTGTTGTAGTCCCCTGATTTGCGGTAGGCGTGTCTCTCGGCAATGAGTCCCAAAGTAAACGTACTTGTCCATGGTTTTCGTGGTCGTATTTCAAAGCTTGGAAGAACAGCGGCTGCGGCATCGAAAACTTGCTGTACATGTTCCGCCGCTTCGTCCACGGAAGGGGACAAAGGTAGGTCCACGATGGCATTGGAGAATGTCGCGGTGAAGAGCTCCTGGGTACGCTTGTCCGCCAGAGCACCAACATCAACCTTCTTCTTCTTAGGCGCGCCGGCCCGTGAAGATCGTTGGACTTCGAGCTGTAGCCCAGCATTCTTCCATGCATGCAAGTATGATGGCATAAAACATGATCAATTTGAGAGAAGAATTCCGGCGATATCGGTTGCATCGACTGCACTCCCAAGTTCCGGTCGGTGATCTTGTCAGCGTCCTCCCCTGCGAAAGATGTGTTCGCGACCACCATATCGCAGTCCGCGCATGACTCCATTAACAGCTGCCGGTTCGTCACCTGTGAAGCGGGTCGTTTTGGTGGAGTTCCTCCGAAAACGTGTTCTCCAATAGTGTCCTCTTCACCCGCTCCTCGGCATAATATCTTAGCATTGTAATCATCCAAAACGACCCTGGAACTGTGCGGCGTTGTTGGCTTTACGTGCTTGGCGATATCTGCATAGAACGTCTGTCGCACTTCTGGGTCATGTCCGCTGTGGGGGGCGTATGCGGAAATGAGCGTCAGGATGCCTCCGAAGACCTTGATTCTGAGTGTAGCCATTCTAAGGCCGATAGTTTTGAAAGCAACGACGGCAGGACACACCCGAGGTGATATGACGAACCCCACTCCTGCATCGGATCTGGAATCCAAGTTTGCCTCGCCGGAGAGAAAGTAAAGAAACCCATCTTGTATGAAATATTCGGTTCCATGCAGCTGTGTTTCCTGTATACACAATATGTCGACGGCGTAGTTTTCCATGATTTTGGCCACTTCTGTTAATTTTACAACTGAATTCCCACGCATTCCTTCGACATTCCATGTGCCAAGGCGCATCGCATTGAGGGAAGAACACATATACCTGGATCTCCCCCACGAGTCTGGGAGCTTCCCTGGCCTGAAAATTGCGGACGTCAAAGCAGCAGGTGCCTGTCCCGAGGTGGCCCGGCGAGCTGGAGACCCTGACGGTGGCAAGCAAGAAAATGATGTAGAAAAAGCCGGGGGAGTAGCAGGAGACGAAGATGAAGAAGATGGAATATGAAATTGTGGTTGCGGCCTGGTGTCGTTGCCCATGCCGTTTGCGAAAAATGTACATGACTCCGTAGGTATGAACATAGCGGTAGCTTTGCACAGGGTACTTCCAGAACCATCGGAATCAAGCGAATTAGGCTGAGGAGGTACGGTTCTGCTGTCGACTTTTCCGGGGCAGGTATCTGAAACCGACTTGTTGGAGAAGGTGGTAGCTTTGCCCAGCATGTCCCAAAATATCAAAAAGTTAGGCGGATCAGATTGTGGATGTCCTTGTCCAGCGGCTCCGGTATCAAATCGGACGTTCCCTGATACTTGCCGTGTTTCCTACGCCTTCGCCTCACCTTTAGACTGGCCCTTCGGCCCTCCCTTCATCCCTGCTGTCGCCCGGGTTACTAAGGAGTCGCATTTAATCACAAGTTCTTTTAGTTTTTCGTGCTGCTGTAGTTCCTCCCACGTCTCCCATTCCTCCTCCCACTCACGAGTAAGATGCGTGCCGTCCGTAGCAACAGTAAGAGCCAATTGACCACCCACTCGAACTTGGTAAGGAGCGTCGTTTGATACACTAATGGTGTAAGCCGAGTGCATGGTATCTTTGAGGAGATATTTCAACCCGAAGCAGAAGTTCCGAGCGGCCCTCTCCAATGGGTGGCGGTCGCTCGAAGCCCATACAGTATTCCCATTGAGGTGGAACTTCGCGCTCTTGATCAGAGCCACCGCAGTATCCCTGTCCAGCGCAAATAAATACACACAAACAAACTATTCCCCATATTTTCCCATATTTTCTGGGTTTCTGGTTTCCCTCCCACTTCCCATATTTTCTCATATTTCTGATGGATCGAGGATTAAGTGTGTATGTGTGCTTTTTCCTCTCCTGACTGTTCTGCTTGCAGCGGTGACCCCTGTCTTGAATCCACCTGAGGGTCCGTGCTGATCCTCCCCGCCCTCCCCTCCGCGAGGTCTTGCGCGCACGCCGCATGTCTCTCTTACCCTGCCCACCCATTTCTGCTTCTCAAGGGGCCCAGGGACACACAAAGAAATACACGCAAATAACAGGATCCCCCATGCTTTCCCATATGTTTTGGATGTTCGTCTTCCCCCCACTTTCATAGTTTCCCATATTTTCTGGAGGATCGACGATTAATTGTGTCTGTATGTTTTTTCCCAACCATCCTGTGGTGCTGGGTCCTCGTTTTGAAGAGACAGCGCCCCGCGTCTCCATCCTTCCTTCCTCCTGCCCCCTCGTCCCCCCCCCTCCTCCTGCCCGCATGCGGCTCCCCCACCCAGGGCAGCGTTTCGTAGCCCCATAAGGAGCTCCACCGAAGGCCCCAGTGGGGGTGCCCGCATGCGGTTCCCCCACCCAGGGCAGCGCTTCGTAGCCCCATAAGGAGCTCCACCGAAGGCCCCACTGGGGCGCCCATAGGGAGCTCCACCGAAGGCCCCAGTGGGGGTGCCCGCATGCGGTTCCCCCACCCAGGGCAGCGTTTCGTAGCCCCATAAGGAGCTCCACCGAAGGCCCCAGTGGGGGTGCCCGCATGCGGTTCCCCCACCCAGGGCAGCGTTTCGTGGCCCCATAGGGAGCTCCACCGAAGGCCCATTGGGGTGCCCGTGCGGTTCCCCCACCCAGGGCAGCGCTGTGCCCCATAGGGAGCTCCACCGTAGGCCCCAGTGGGGGTGCCCGCATGCGGTTCCCCCACCCAGGGCAGCGTTTCGTGGCCCCATAGGGAGCTCCACCGAAGGCCCCAGTGGGGGTGCCCGCATGCGGTTCCCCCACCCAGGGCAGCGCTTCGTAGCCCCATAAGGAGCTCCACCGTAGGCCCCACTGGGGGATGCCTGCATGCGGTTCCCCCACCCAGGGCAGCGTTTCGTGGCCCTATAGGGAGCTCCACCGAAGGCCTCAGTGGGGGTGCCCGCATGCGGTTCCCCCACCCAGGGCAGCGTTCCGTGGCCCCATGGGGAGCTCCACCGTAGGCCCCAGTGGGGGTGCCCGCATGCGGTTCCCCCACCCAGGGCAGCGTTTCGTGGCCCCATAGGGAGCTCCACCGAAGGCCCCAGTGGGGGTCCCCGCATGCGGTACCCCTACCCAGAGGTAACGCCACCGGAAACGATATTCATAATGCGGTATTCACAACTTCATATGGCTGGGTCCTTCGCCAGGCTGATTCCCCTCCTGAGTCTTGCGCGCACGCAGCATGTCTCTCGCCCTGCCCGCCTAGTTCTGCTTCTCGAGGGGCCCAGGCACACACACACACACCCACACACACACACATTCACACACACGCACGCACGCACGCACGCACGCACGCACGCACGCACGCACGCACGCACACACACACACACAAGTACACGCAGATCACAGGATCCCCCATACTTTCCCACGTGTTCGGGGCGTTTGTCTTCCCGCCCGCTTCCCATCTTTTCCCCTAGTTTTCCTTGAGGATCGACGATGCCTCGTCCTCCGCGCACCTCCCTTGAGCAACCGCGGCCTCGGCGCCCCGTGCCACTCGCCCGCCGGGAGCACGAGCGGAGGGGGAGCGAACTTACCACCCGTGGTGCGAACGGCGTCCACGAACTCTCCTCCTCCCTCCTCCTCCTCCTCCTCCTCCTCCTCCTCCCCCTCCCCCTCCTCCTCCTCCTCCTCCTCCTCCTCCTGCTCCTCCTTCTCCTCCTCCTCCTCCCCCTCCTCCTCCTCCTCCTCCTCCTCCTCTCCTCCTCCTCCTCCTCCTCCTCCTCCTCCTCCTCCTCCCTCTCCTTGCGTCGCAAGCGCGGCGGGTGTGGCGTCCCATCTCCATGGCCGTCCACGGCCCGTACGGCGACAGCGCCAGCGGAAACCGCCCGGATCGACAGCGACACTGGAAGCCGACAGAAATTCTGCCCGAAGCAGCCGAAGAGGGGCGTGGCGGGACAGCAGCGACGCCACAGCCGACCGGACCGAACCGCCCGAATACCACCGACTGCGATTCTCGGGGACCTACAGTCGGGACGTTGACCTAAGGAACCCTAAATAAGGAACGAGGCCCTTTTTTTCCATGGGTTAAACTTCGATATCCCGTCGAAAACATAAGGAAACCCTGAGGCAAGCTGTGAACCAATTAAGGAACGCGAAGCCCCTCCCAAACCAAAAGGGTTCCTTCTTCAGGGCCCCGACCGTACTGACCCGGGTCTGTCCACACCCGGGTCAGTCGGGCTTTGCAAGACCCTGCATGATCCTGCGCCCGAACCCGGGTCAATGCACCCCTGGCTCCGCAGGATCCTTCAAGATCCGGCGCTCTGGCTGACCCCCGTTTGAATTGACCCCCGTCCCTTGAACGTCGAGACGCAGCGGGACCGACCGAACCGCGGGCGCCCTCGACCGCCTTCTGTTTCGCAGCTGAGAGCCAGCGATGCTTCGCACGGAGCAGAGTGCCACGGGCAGCCTTGCCCTTGCCTTTCGCCGCGGGCTTCGGGGCAGCCGCCTCCTCGTCGCACGCCGACCGCGCCGCGGGTGAGGGAGGGGGGGGGGGGAAGCCTCGCGCTGGCAAGACGTGGGTCGAAGCGGAAGGCAGACGGTAGACGAAAGGCGGGAGGAGCGGAGCCAAAAAGAAGCCAGATGCAGCAGGGTTCGTTCCGGAGGAGAGGCAGACGAAAGGAGGATGAGGAGGAGACGAGGAGGGAGAAGTGGGGGAACGACGAGCGAGGCTCAAGGGAGAGGAAGAGGCCGACTCTCGATGGGGAGAGAAAGAGGACGATGGTAAGGATTTGCAAGAAGACGGAAGAAGAGGGAAGGGAAGGAGAGGAGGCATACGGAGAAGGTACCAAGATGAAGAGGGACGAAGGAGAGGGGGAGCATGATAGCTCTTGAAGAAGTGAAGCCGAGAGGTGTCACATGTAGCGGCCTTCTGCGCGGTGCTCTTTTAGGTGATCTGACTTCCATCCATGACCCCGCTTAGGCCCGACGCCCACGAGGGGCCAGAGCGGGGATATGAAGAAATTTAGGTCGGGCATGTCCCACTACAGGGAGATTGTGGATGAGAAATTACGAATACTCTAAAAATAGTCCCATCATATTTGTAGTACTATTTTTGAATACTCCTCCTGTAGAGGGACAGGCCCGACTTAAGAACTCGCCGGCCCAAAGGGCCAGAGGCGTGCTAAGATCTCCAGCTGCTGGTTAACAGTATTCGTGTTCGCGCGCGCAGGGCAGCCCCAGGGTGGGGGGCCAAAAAGATCCACCACCACCACCTTCCTCCCCACCTCCCTCTCGCTGGAAGGAGGAATCGACGTGGTGGTGGTGTATATTCCATGGGCCCCCACAGGGGGGCCCCGGGCGAAAAGTACCCCCAGGTCGATCCCCGGCAGAGTCCCGGCAGGGTCGGGTCAGAGATGCCGGACCTCCTGGGCGCGGCCTCTGGAAGACCCTGGGGCGCCCCAGGAGCGCCCCAAGGAGGCGCCAATCGAGTGGCAGGCCCCGCAGCCCCAGGCCGAGAGCGCTCCAAAGCGTCCCAATATTGCCTCAAGACGGCCCAGAACGCCCCCAAAACGCCCCAAGATGCATTCGAGACACCTCCCCAAGAGGCCTCCAAGATGCAAATACTGGTGATTTCCCCACCGGTTGTTGGAAGATGTTGGCATTCTCGCCTGTTCGGCTTACTGGCGCTCCAAGACAGCCCAAAAGGAACCCAAAATCGCCCAATCACGGCCCAAGAGGCCTCCAAGAGCGCCCAGAAACAGCCCCAGAAGGCTCCAAGAGAGCCCAAGATGGCCCAAGAAGCCTCCAAGATGGCCCAAGAGGCCCCCAAAACGGCTCCAAGAGCGGGCCCCGACGGGGGACCAGAACAGACATTTCGCGCTCTAGGCTCCGAGGAATCCCCAGGAGACCCCAAGTGGCCCCCAAGAGGCCCCCGAGAGGCCCCAAGAGGCCCCCCATGAGGCCCCATGAAGTCAGAGAAACACCGCCAAGACGCCCCCCAGAGGCCTCCCAAGAGACCCCAAGACGCCTCGCAAAGAGACGTCTTGTCCACGATCAAGTTTGGCCCCAAAATACCCCAACAAACCATCGAGGGCCCCCTCCTCCCCATCGTCTTCTATTCCTCCTCTGTTCCTCCTCCTCCTCCTCCTCCTCCTCCTCCTCCTTTTCGCTCGCCGCGAGCACGCCCACATATAGCACTATTGATACGGGATGGGCCAGCGGAGTGAGCGAAACGATTTCAATCAATTTAACGCCTGCGAGGCCACGCTTTTGTCCCATACCCTGCTGCACCTGGCGCCCGGAATGGGGGGCAGCAGCAGGGGTATGGATCGAACGCCGATCGCGGATTTTTCCGTACCGATTTCGATCGTGCCGAATCAGGGACGGGCCGCCCTGCTGCGGCAACTCAGGGGGGCCTCGCCTCCCATACCATTTTGTTTGTTCGTGCGGACCGGCGCTAGCCGACGCTCATCGGTGCTACATCGGCACCATATCATCGATTGCCAGACGCTCATCGGCGTTAATGCACTCCGAAGACAGAGTTGGACACATAAAAAACCACATGAACGTAAATGTGTTGGTGTTCCGTGCGGAGATGTTTTATCTGCGCTGGGCGCCCTTCCCTGGCGCGAGGAACGCGGCAGGGGCGGCGCCGGAGGCGCCGCCGGGGGGCCCCAGCGGAGATCCAAGAAATCCGCGCGGAACGCCAAACATTTATTCCCAACCATCCTGTGGTGATGGATCCTCATTTTGAAGAGACGGCGCCCCGCGTTCCTCCTCCTCTCCTCCTCCTATTCCCTCCTCCCCCCCCTTGCCTCTGCCCTCCGCGTGTCTATATGTCGGTTCACCCCTCGCACGCTTCGTGGCCCCATAGGGAACTCCAACTACGGTCCTAGTGGCGGAACTCGCATGGCGGCCTCGGGCAATTTCGGCACACCCCTCACGGGGATCGTGGCCCCATAAGGAGTTCCACCATAAATCCCAGTGGCGGGCGGAACTCGCATGGCGGCCCCGGGCCATTTCGGCACCCCCCCCACACGTTTCGTGGCCCCATAGGGAGCTCCACCTAAGGTCCCAGTAGCGGAGCTCGCACTGCGGCCTCGGGCCATTTCGGCACACCCCTCACGAGGATCGTGGCCACATACGGAGCTCCACCGAAGGCGCCAGTGGCAGTGTTCGCATGGCGGCCTTGGGCCATTTCGGTACACCTCTCACGCGCTTCGTGGCCCCATAAAAAGGGCTCCACCTGAGGTCCCACAGGCGGAACAACTCCACCTAAGGTCCCAGTGGCGGAACTTGCACGGCGGCCTCGGGCCATTTCGGCACACCCCATCTCGATGATCGTGGCCCCATAGGGAACTCCACCGAAAGCCCCAATGGCAGGGTTCGCATGGCGGCCTCGGGCCATTTCGGAACACACCTCATGATCGCGGCCGAGCTCCGCCGACGGCACCAGTGGCAGGGTTCGCGTGGCGGCCCCGAGAAATTTCGGCACACCCCTCAAAAGGATCGTGGCCCCGTAGGGAGCTCCACCGAAGGCGCCAGTGGCAAGTTTCGCACGGCGGCCTCGGGCCGTTTTGGCACACCCCTGATGGAGAGCGTGGCCCCATCGGAGTTCCACCGAAGGCGCCAGTGGCAGGGATCGCACGGCGGCCTCGGGCCATTTCGGCACACTCCATCACGAGGACCGTGGCTCCATAGGGAGCTCCACCGAAGGCCCTAGCGGCAGGTTTCGCATGGCGGCCTCGGGCCATTTCGATCGTGGCCCCATAGGAGCTCCACCGAAGGCGCCAGTGGCAGCTTCCCTCATGGCTCTCAGAACCCTCACCTGCTTCTGCTCCTCGGTCAGGGGGGCGCCGTCCTCGTCGTCGTCGTCGGCGCCCGGAAAGATGGCCGCGAACGAGTCCCTGAGCATGTCGGGCTCCGGCGGGAAACCTTGGCCACATAGGGAGTGTGGGCGAAGATGGTATTCACAACTGCGGTATTCACAACAGCGCTTGATTGGGTCTTTCGCCAGGCTATATAATGTTTCAACGATTTACAAGGGCACACGATTTGGACAACCGAAATGGGTACGGAAAGAATTGGCACAATGTCCAACAACAAATGTTGTCCCAAACCAACAGCGGCCGCTGTTGGGCAGGCAGCCTTCCGTCTCGAATGGACACAGGCCGCGGCGGCGTGGACAGCGAGTCCTGTTCAAAATGAACAGGAACTGCAGTTGGGCATTGTACCATTCTTTCCGTGCCCATTTCGTTCGTGCAGACACGAGGCTCCCATGATTCACTACCGAACCGAGCCGGCCGTCCCACCCCCAGCGGGCGGGTGCTCCTCTGGCGGCGCGGGCTCTGGCGCCCCCTCCGCCGGCGCCGGAGGCGCAGGCGGGGGGCCCTGGCCAGGCAGAGGCGGGCCCTTCTTGCCTGGCGGCAGCGGTGTCGGCAAGGGACGTGGCGGAGGAGAGGTCGGGGGTGTCCAATAGAGGAGAAAGAACGATGCACATAGAACTCATAGAACCGAGTCTGGCCAGGCCCAGCCTGAGCCCAGGATCGGTGCATACGCCCTCCTACCCTGGCCAGAAAGGCATATGCACCGATCCTGGGTCAAGGATGGGCCTTGCCAGGATCGGTGCTTGTGCATAGTTCTCTTCCCCCGATCCAAGAGGGGGGCGTCCAAGTGCAAGCGACGGGGGGGGGGCCAGGGGGCGCACTGAAGGATGAGACGAAGAGGAAGGCAAGCCGACACCCTCGTGGTCCCTCGTCCCTGGCGCCCCTCCTGCTTCTATCTTCTCCTCCTCCTCCTCCTCCTCCTCCTCCTCCTCCTCGGGCCGAGGAAGATGAAGGGGACCCAACCACGGCAGAAGGACTCTCCGAGCGAGCGGAAACGGAAATCCGTCATTGGTCGAGACGCTTGCGCAGTCGAAGTCGGCCGAGCTGAAAGTGAGAAGCGCCCCACCTTCGGTGAAGGGGGCCGCGAAAGGGCGACAGTTCGGGGATGGACAGACCTCCCTTTAGTAAAACGTGGTTTAGTGAGAACGACCTCGGGGCCAAACCTAGCGGGCGCAAGCCTGGAAAATAACTGCCGCGGCGCCCTCTCGAGAACCGAAAACGGACAATTCACTAATCGACGTGTCACTGTTGGGGGTTCTGTCCACCCCCGAGATCTATCGACTCGCGCAGAGCAGAACCGATCGGAGCCGCGGGTCGAGGTCACGACGGTGGACCGGGTCGGGTCGTCAAGACCCTCGAGATGCGTGAGCCCGTGTCGGCGCGCGGTCCTGGGCATCGCTCGGACGTCCATTCCCTGTGTTTTGTTTTCGGTTTCGTGCATGTTTTTTTCGCCAAATGATCAAGGACGCTCCTCCATGGTCCTCGCCGGAGGAAAAATGCACACGTCCGAGCGATGCCAAGGGTCTCGGTCTCGGTCTCTCTCTCTCTCTCTCTCTCTCTCTCTCTTTTTGTTACTGTTGTTTTCTTTCTCTCTCTGTCTCGCTATCTGTATGTAACGGGTTCACCCAGTGCCCCGCCGCGCCTCCTGCGGCCCTGCACCCTCGCCGGCATCAGTGCGCCGTCTCCCGGAGTGCGCTCTGGGCCTCTCCAGACGAACCTGCTGCGGTTTCAAGCGAGGTGTCGGAGCGGCCTGGAGAAACTCGCGCAGGCGCCTGCGCGGCCGTTTGCCGGGCGGGCGGCAGTGGGGGGTGACCCACACGGAAGGTGGAAAGACAGGCCCAAAAGGGGCCCTGAAGGGCCCCTTTGGGGCGCTTTTCTTCCTCACCACCCCCACTCTGGCCATCGCTCGGACGTCCATTCCCCGTGTTGTTTGTCGGTTTCGTGCATGTTTTTTTCGCCAAATGATCAAGGATGCTCCTCGACGGTCCTCGCCGATGGAAAAATGCACACGTCCGAGCGATGCCAAGCACTTGGGTCACCCCCCATTGCCACACGCCCGAGTTTGGCGAGATGGACGGCACCCGGCAAGGCAGGCGCCCCCACAGTCGAATCGACAAGTCGGACCGGCGGAAATCGGCAGGCCAGTGTGCCTCCGACAAGACATCGGAGCCCACATCGGAATCCGAAGTCGAATCGAATCGGAATCGGAAACTCGGGTCGGAGGGGGGGTTTGAGAATCAGCTCACGTAGCTGATTTTCCCGGCGCCTCCCGGCGCCGGAGGCGGCTATGTATCGAGGAATGGGCCCCTCGGCGAGGCCGAAACCAGCTGCATGCAGCAAATGTTGTAACCCCCCCTTTCCCAATCCCCCCCTTTCGCCCGGCCCGAGAAACCATCGAAATCGAATCGAATCGAGTCGGAGGAATCGAAACGAGCCCTGGCAGGGCGGGGCGGCGGGCCTTTGCCCGGCCCCTTCGGGGGCCCCTTCGCCTTCGGCGCCTCCGCCTCCGCGGGGGCAGCGTCGGCGGGGGGCGCCACGGCGGGGGGCGCCTCGGCGGGCGCCTCTGGCGGGAAGTGGCGGGCTGGAGGCTGCTGCTGGTGCTGCTGGTGCTGCTGGTGCTGCTGGTGCTGCTTGTGCTGCTGCTGCTGCTGGTGCTGCTGCTGCTGCTGCTGCTGCTGCTGCTGCTGCTGCTCTCCCTCCTCCTCCTCCTCCTGCTCTCCCTCCTCCTGCTCCTGCTCCTCCTCCTCCTCCTCCTCCTCCTCTCCTCCTCCTCCTCCTCCTCCTCCTCCTCCTCCTCCTCCTCCTCCTCCTCCTCCTCCTCCTTCTCTCCTCCTCTTTCCTCCTGCTCCTCCTCCTCCTCCTCGTGCTCGTGTTCCTCATCCTCCTTTTCCTCCTTCTCCTCCTCCTCCTCCTCCTCCTCCTCCTCGTCCTCCTTTCCTCCTCCTCCTCCTCCTCCTCCTCCTCCTCCTCCTCCTCCTCCTCCTCCTCCTCCTCCCCCCCGTTTCTGTTTCATCCCTCTTCCTTGTGCCGGTGCCGCCCCGCTCGGCGGCGGGAAGCCGCGCTTCCCCGCGGAAGCGGGACCCGTCGCTGCTCCACGCCCCCCGCTGGATCCGTGTTCGCGATCGCCCGAGTCATGGTGCGCCGCGTCTGGGGCCCAGGGTGGGCCTCGCCAGGGGCGGTGGACATGTGCACAGATCTCGTCGCCCGACACCTTGGGGCCACGCCTCGGCCTCTCGGGCGTTCCGAACCGGGAGGGGCAATGCATTGGGGGGAAAGGTCCAGATCACAACCGGCCGGGTGAGATCACAAGCGGACGGGTCAGATCACAACCGTCCAGGACACGTGGGACGGGTGAGATCACAACCGCTTTGGAGCCTGTGAGAGCTTGTGAGACGTTCTGAGAGCCTCTGAAGTGTTCTGAGAACCTCCGAAAAGTTTTGAGAACCTCTGAGGGTTTCTGAGAGCCTCTGAGAGCTTCTGAGAGCCTCTGAGAGTTTCTGAAAGCCTCTGTAAGGTTCTGAGAACCTCTGAGAGGCTCTGAGAGCCTCTGAGAGCTTCTGAGAGCCTCTGAGAACTTCTGAGAGCCTCTGAGAGGTTCTGAGAGCTTGTGGGAGGTTCTGAGAGCCTCTGAATGGTTCTGAGAGCCTCTGAGAGGTTCTGAGAGCCTCTGAGAGGTTGTGAAAGGTTTTGAAAGCCTCAGAGAAGTTCTGAAAGCCTCTGAGCGCCTCTGAGAGCCTTTGGGAGCCTCTGAGAGATCCTGATAGCCCCTGAGAGCCTCTGCGAACTTCTGCGAAGTTCTGACAGCCTGTGTGACCCTCTTAGAGCCTCTGTCAGCTTCTGAAAGTTTCTGGGAGCCTCTGAGAGCCTCTGCGAAGTTCTGCGAGGTTCTGACAGCCTTTGAGAGTCCCTGAGAGCCTCTGAGAATAGCTGAAAGCCTCTGGGAGGTTCTGAACGGAATCAGAGCTGCTGGGAGATTCTGAGAGGTTCTGAGGGCCTCTGGGAGGTTCTGAAAGGTTCTGAGAGCCTCTGGGAGGTTCTGAAAGGTTCTGAAAGCCTCTGGTAGGTTCTGAGAGCCTCTGGGAGGTTCTGAAAGGTTTTGGGAGCCTCTGGGAGGTTCTGTCTGAGAGCTTCCTGAGTGATCCTGCGGCATTAGATGTGGTTTCGCTGTTGGCGCTGTGCGTTGGTACGTATACTATTACTGCTGCTATTGCGACATACCATTTGCATTTCTACGGCTACTGATTTTCATAGTAATACTACTTATACTGCTGATACTACCACTGCTACTACTGCTGCTACTACTACTACTACTGCTGCTGCTACTACTACTACTACTACTGCTACTACTACTACGACCGCTGCTACTACTACTGCTACTAGTACTACTATTACTACTACTACTACGACTACTACTACTACTACTACTACTACTGCTGCTGCTGCTACTACTACTACTACTACTACTACTTGTGCAACTACAACTACTTCTACGACTACGACTACGACGGCGACGACGACGACGACGACGACTACTACTACTACTACTACTACTCCTGCTCCTGCTTCTACTCCGACTACTCCTACTTTTCCTATTATCACTGCTACTACTACTACTACGACTACTACTACTACTGCTACTACTACTACTACTACTACTACTACTACAACTACGACTGCTACTGCTACTGCTACTACTACTACTACTACTACTGCTACTACTTGTACTATCAGTTCAACCACTACTTCGTGTACTACGACGCCCTCCGCAGCTACTACTACTGATACTTCAAATTGTATTTCTGCTGCTGTATTCCTTCAGCAACTGCCGCTACTACTACTACGGGCGCTACGCCAACAACTACTACGTCTACCACTACTTCTGCAAGCACCACCACTACTGCTACTACTGCTGCTGCTACTACGACGACTACTACTACGAGTATGACGAGTACTGCTGCTGCTGCTGCTGCTACTACTACTACTACTACTACTGCTACTGCTACCACTACTACTGTTACTACAATTACGACAAACAAGAATACTACACCTACCAATACTACGACGACGACGAGTACTCCCACAACTACTTCTACTGCTGTTACCACTACAATTACTATTGCTACTACTACTACTACTACTACTGCTGCTACTACTGCTACTACTACTACGACCATTAATGCTGAGGCCACTGCTACTGCTACGACTGCCACTACTACTGCTACTACTACTACTACTACTCTACTAGTTCTACTGATGCTACTACCACCACTACTACCACTACTATTACGCCTACTGTGACTCAGCTGCTACTGGTACACTTGTGCTATGAGTACTACTACTACCACCACTGTTTCGAGTTTTTTTTTTGTGCTACTAGTACTAGTAGTAGTCGTAGTAGTAGCATTTCTACTACTACTACTACTACCACTACTACTACTACCACTACTACTACTACTACTACTACTACTACTACTACTACTACTACTACTACTACTACTACTACTACTACTACTACGGCAACTACTACTGCTACTACTACTTTACTACTACTACTACTCCCTATATCGGATCCCAATAAGAATTTCCTGGATTCGAATTCCAATATGGATTCCCTGTATTCGGATTCCACGGTGAATTTCCTATATCTGGATCCCAATATGAACTTTATATTTGGATTGAAATTACTTCTACTATTACTACTACTACTACTACTACTACTACTACTACTACTGCTACTACGACTCTTCTACTA